TACTTTAAATACCATTTCTTTTCAAGCTGATAAACCAGACTGTGTAATTAAGGTTACCATGGTTACGAACGCTTTAGTTTATTGCTTATTTTTTCTACTCTTAAAATGAAATAAAAGCCTATTGCTTCCAATTTTGCTAAATATGAGAAAAGTGGGAATTCGTGACCAGTGAGTGTGTGGTACAGTAGGTTACCGATACCACTGGCTAGTGAAAGTCGCGCTATTTCGTGAATTGACAGAAGTTGGAATTCTTACACTGGTTATGGATCGGCTTGGGACCCAGTGGCTTAATGGTGGTCTATGAGCTCGCTTGGCTTGTAACCCAAAGGTCCTGGGTTCAAAGTCCATTTGGTGGGTGAGTACTGCTGAAAAGTCCCAAGCATTGGGATGAAATGGCTGGCTGCCCGGGACTTCCTGGTGGTTTTCCAATGGTCCTCTAACTGATATCAGTTGTTCATGATGAAATTCTGTAATCAATCGATCAAATCCCTGCAAACTAACACTTCAATATCACTTTTATTCCGTCTCTATCCTGGACTACTGAAGAAGGACTATATCTTATTACATGGGGTGTTAAAGGTTGTCAATAGGGTAAGCAACGTGCCACTTGACCAGTGTGTTAATATTCTGGTTGACAGGCACTTGGACTCATGTGAAAAATGGGCTAAATCCATTCTGTCTAACCTACACCACCCTCTTCATATTAATATATGTGCATGCACCCTCTTCATTCACAACTCTCTCCTTGCATCTCATCAGGTAAAACCAGAAGCCTATATACAAAACTATATGCTCGCACTAGCAGGTACAAAAACTCAACCATACCCTACTTAGCTCGAGTTCTGTGCGACAAAGAAAGCACTAGGCGTTATACCAGTAACTTATTAAATAGTCAGTAGAACAACTGGATCTCGTCTTTCCAACTCATATCATTTATAGATACAAAATTTTCTTTCTTTCTTTTCCTTTTCCCTCTCTCTCTTTTTCCCCTTATGTGCTGCTTTGTTTCTTTCTTCCGCTTACGCCAGTAAATATGATAGCACCTACTTTTCTGACACCTTCAAACACTGTTCAACTTTGGCTTTGCTACCGACATGCCAATATGTTGTGGTCATAATGAACTGAGATTTCCTTAATCTATGTAGAATTCTATTTATTGATAATGTACTAACTGGATGCAATACTGTAGTAAAAATGCTGAGAATTCCATTCTGTATCACAAGTACTGTTTTGGAATAAAGCAAATTATTATTATTATTATCAAATATCATCATAATCACAGGATCCAGACGATGTTTATAATCAGTATTGGTGTTTCGTATATTTCATACGATCAAGTGTTCTGTCACAGAATTGAAGTATGGTTTTATTCTTTTCTTCCTAAATGTTTATTTTCAAGTCGATGTCGGTGGCCTGCTTAAAACTTGGGCTACGGAAAACTTCCGTCAATATATATATTGCATATAATTTCTCTTATCCAGTGTGTTTAAATACTCTGGCGAGTATTTAAAACATTTACAACCTGCTGATTCGGAAGTTTCTACTAAAATTAAGAAAATGTGTTATCCTAGATGACAGGTTATCCCAATACACGAGATAATGGTTCCCGGATTGTCTCCTTGGTTCACCAAAATGTACTTCTGAATCTTTCATAATCGGTATTCAACAAAATGTCATCGTGTATTTCTTGAAGGAGAAATAGAAGAGATATCATAGTGGATTGGTTTTCACTTCAGGTCGGATAGAACTGTGTCACACGATCTACTATCAGTCAATTAATATTTTATTTGGTAACAGGATTTAATCATGAGCTGACACCCGTTTGAGAACCATTGGAAAACCACCAAGGATTACTGGACAGCCAGCTGTTTCCTTCCATTTTGGAACTCTTCGCAGTACTCGCCCATCACCAGGGTTCGAACCTCGCACTTTACGGATACAAGGCACGCGAGCCCGTAGACCATTAAGCTACTGGGTGCCGACCCGATCTACTGACCAATGCAAGAATTCCAAATTCTATCAATTCACAACTTTGCACTAGCCAATATCACAGGTGGTAAGGATTTATCCTCACACACGACCGCCTGCTGTACCCCAACCACTGGTCACGACTTCACACTAATCTTTTATATGTAGGTCCTATGTGAGGAAAAAATATCATATTTACGTAAAAATTGGGCACTGTGGTAGTATGTAATTCCATATTAGTTTGTTTATTAGATGTGTTACACAGTGAAACAGTATTATTTACTGGATGACACGGTTTCGAACACAATCCATTATTGTTCATAATCATATCAATTATAATCACACAACTTCGAAACTAGAGTCTCATAGTTTTCTTTGCTCACTCCTATTCGTCGTCGTAGAAGTAGTAGAATTTTCCAGAAGTTTGGGTGGGTGGACAGGTGTTGAATCATTCCTATGACACGTGTTTGCAGTTGTTTCGATAAATAAAGCCTCAGTCAGTTACCAATCTCTCCCTCCACCCTGCTGTTATTGTATGGTTGTGCGTAATTGCATGTAGTGAGTGCTATCTACGGCTGAACTGTTCTGTAGATTTCTTGTCTTATTCGGGTCAACTAATCTAGATTTTGCTGCTAGGTTTTTATACTCCACTAGTCTGACTGCACCTGTTCTACTACTTTGACCTATGTATTTGACCTGACAATCATTGAAGCAGTGAATTAGATAAACTACATTGTTTTGTTTTAAAAGCTCCACAGGATCCTTCAAAGGACAGTTCATTTTTATAATTGAGTTTGTGGTTGGTTTGAATGCCAGTCACTTTTATTCCTACCCTGTGAAGAATTCTCCGCCGAAAGGTTTCCGAGTTGCCTTCTTTGTATGGAATTACTACTGATGATTTGGACTCCTTATTGTTGGTGTTGTCTCACACATGTTTGACATGCATGTCATCATTAATATTATTATTATCACTATCACTACGTTTCCTTACATATTTCCTGACTAATTTATCAGGGTAATTATTAAGTTTCAAAACTTCTTTTATATGTTTCACTTCCTGTCTTAGATTTTCCGCAGTACCACTTAGTTCTTGTGCTCTATTACTTAAACATTTCAGCAATCATATTTTCACTGACATAGGATGGGATGATTGGAAATCCAAATATCTGTTTGAATGTGTGGGTTTCCTGTAAACACTAGTGTGTGTTTAAGTTCCTATCTTCTTTCCTATTTACGCTACAATCTAACATTGGAAGCCCCCGCCATACCTTCCTGGCTTTCCAATTCATAAGCGAATTGAATAACCTCCACCTATTGAGCTGATATGTTCGACAAATCCATCTATATCCTGTGTTCTTAGTGCAGTGAATGTGTCGACTACACACCTCTAGTAGAGAGTAGTAACTAGACAGCTGTTTCTTTCTAGTCTTCACTAACCTCTTGTCTCCCCCCCCCCTGGAATTAAGATGAAGAGTGTGGTCTAATGTGTGAATTAATTTTCAAGTACTGGCTTTGTACTTGAAAATTAATCTGATGCTCACCAACTACTGGCCCTATTCAGACAGTTAACCTGGGGTTCTAAAAGGAAGCCGTGACCAGTAGGATGCAGCAGGTTGAAAGTGAGGCAGTAACTCATCGAAGAAGACATTGCGAAATGGTCGCGCTCTGTCATGAATTGTCAAAAGTTAGAATTCAAGGACCATTGGATTGGGTCCCAGTGGCTCAATGGTCTACGAGCCCGCGTTGTAACCAGAAGGTCCTGGATTCGAAATGTGACAGTGGGTGCGTACTGATGAAGAGTCCCCAACTAGGACGAAACAGCTGTCCAGTACTCCCTGCAGGTTTTCCAGTGGTTCTCTAACTGATATCAGCTCATGATGAAATCCTCTATGAATTAATTGCTTATGATTTTTGTCAAATATACACAGTACCTAATTACTTGGATTGAACACTAATTACCACTAATAACTAGTGTCCAATCTAAGTATCCAATACAGTCCTACAGGAGATCGGCCACGAGGTCGAATAACTCACTGATAACGTCTCTAACTGTACCACTCACTGGATGACATGGGACACGAGTCTTTTCAAGGGTGCAGATGCTCCTTACTGATGAATACCAACTCGCACGAAACCTAGGTCCAAGGCTGCCTTCCATTTGCCTCCAAGCATCTAACACAGTATGAATTGGGAAGTCTTTCTAGCTAATCTAGGTTCACCAATCATTCTATATACCATATTGCTGCTAATTTCGGCAACACAAGACTGATGTAAATTGGATTTTAATATCGAATTCTAGTAGACTTTCTATTGACAAATGAACTTAACGATAGGTTCTAAATATAAAAATGTCTAGCTTGAATTTCGAAGAGGTTTGCTGATATTTTACAACTAGTGAAATGAGGTGAATAATAATAATAATCACCCAAACATGACATCAAGCAAAAGAAGCGCTTCAAGTGAAAGCTGAAATGATTGGTATTAATAAAGTCAGTCAGTCTATTTGCTTCATTTATTTCAGAAAAAAGATGAAAGCAAAATATTTTTTTCTTTAAAAAAAGTGAGAGAAAATAGAGTCCGAGGGCGTATGTATGTTCAAAAAGTTAAATGAGTGGGTGGGCGAATTATATATATATATATATATATATATATTATATACATTAGATAATATGTATTAATCGATAGGTAAAAATTACTGTCATCAGATTGGTTGATTATTGGCCGAATAGTTGACGTCAATTAGCAGCCTCATTCGGTGATTGGTCTATATGTGAATGTATATAAATGAATATAAAATATATATAAATAAAATAATGTAATAATCAACATTTTGGTAAATTTATTCACGCCCACATACTGTTGTTGTTTGTTGTTGTTGTTGCTGTTGTAGTTGTAGTTGTTGTTGTTATTATTAGTATAATTTTGTCTTACCCCACAACATCTAAATGGTTGATGATGATGATTACAGTTACTAATTGTGAAGGATGCCATTCTACTAACATAAAACTTTTGAATGATACAGAAGTTTAGTTTAACCAACCATATTTTGATTGATTAATTAATAATTCAAACAAACAAAAAAGGCAGTGAATTTGATTGGTCCAGTGTTATATAAGAATAACTGACAGAAATGTCCATTATCTCATCTTGAATTCTTCGTGTTTCTTTGGTCTTATTATTTTTTTTTTTTCAAAAATAAACTATACAATCATACAACTACAAATTTTCGACGAGGAATAATAACTTGCTTGTAATCATTTTTTTTCAAAAGTCATGGATCTTACAGAATTGGATTCATCGTGTAACAATGAAATGACATCATCAGCGCTTAGACTTGTCATGGAGATTTCAATTAATAAACTGCGTAATTTTCAAAATACTTTACAATCTCCAGTGGGACAACCTATGAAAGCATCAGCAGCAGCGGCAGCGGCAGCAGAAAATAGGAATATTTCTTTGTCTAACAATAATAGCAATAATTCAGAATCTATGCCACGTGTCACCGCAAGACGAACATCGAGTACCTTCTCCCCGAGTAATCGATTATACAGAATTATGGTGATTTTAAAAATTGCTAAGAAAGCTAGATCAATTTTGCTAACTCAAGAAGCTATGAACACTTTACCGAACACAAACGTTAACAATAATAATAATAATGACAATAGTAATAATGTAGTAAATAACCATGATACATCTCCACCCGAAAGAATATCATCTACCAGTCATTCAGACAGTGGAGAACAATGTAATCTTTTAAATCCTGCCAAATCAACTGCTCCTCTCCCGACGAATCCATCCTCTGAAATGCCTGTTTTACATTCAATCAATCCTAATGAACAAAGATATAAGAGAATATCTGACCACAGCTCAGATGATTCCTCTGTAACAAGTAACAAAAGAGTGTTTGACTCTAGTCTATCTATTTGGACGCCTGAAAATCCTGAAAGTCAAACAATGAATAATCAAGAAGAACAGTTACGTAATAGTCACGATGATGATAATAATATGGTATACAACTCTCCTCCATTCGAAAATGATAATGGTGGCGTCAGGATGGAAGATGAGAATACGGCTGATGAAGTCGACACTGAAGGTGCAGATGAGGATGATGAGGATGATGAGGATGATGAGGATGATGAGGATGAGGAGGAGGGGGCAGACAGTACTCCAATCTATCCAGATCAATATTCATTGAATAGATGTCGAATGTCGATTGTTCAACAGGCTGATATACATTCCCTAGAAAATAATCGAACTGCCTCAGGTGAATCTTTACGTTCCAGTGGCAATGCATTACAACAAGTCCCGCATACAATGGATTATAATGAAATGAATCATGATTGTGGAAGAGATATGTGTATCTGTCTATCGAATTCACCGAATTCTAGACCATTGATTACAGGAATTATATAAATTAATCAATATGTATATGCAAATATGAATATGATTCAATAAGTGATGGTGATATATGTATATACATTATATCGTTGTGAATATTGTTCAGTCCTGTGATGTCAAGCCATGTGCATCACAGTAAATATGTATTATACGCATATATATACACCAGTGTGTTGATGAACACTTTTCAAGTTATACGCACAATTGTACATAACATTTACCATGAAATCATTCATCTCAGGATTTTCTAATTATCCCCCTCATTTATGAGCACGTACATGTACTCAAAAATAAACAATAATGAACATCAGTTACTGTACACAATGCATCAAACTATGGAAAAACAATAATAACAACAGAGTAACAGTCAGATAGAGTGTAAAGTAACTGGTTAATTTACCTAAAAGTGGGTTGGTGGGTGTGTGTGGGGGCGGGGTTGGAGTGGGGTTGGGATGGGGTGGGAAGATGAACTATTTTCGCTTTGATCTTTGTATATTGTGTAAATTTAATGAAGAAGAGGAAGAGGAAGCTGAAGATGGCGAACTTCGATGTGAAATCAAGCCAATTGTAACTTTTATTCTCCTGTGATCTACCAGTCATGTACCATGGAACTAATGAGTAATTATCAGATATATATATATTTATGTGTATATTTAAGAGAAAATACATCAATTTTATAAATAAATAAAATCTTTATTTGATGAAAACTATTCACCTTGTTATTGTTATTGTTGTTGCTGTTGTCGTCTAATTCAAATATCTGCGGAGACTTGTTCAACTTCCGGGCATCGTGTATGGTCTATTCGTTAAGTTATTCAACTTTCAAGTTATTGTTACACGTTAGAATCCATTTTTAATCTCTTAAGTTCTTATGTTGTGTCAGAGAGTAGCGTAGAATGTCATATATCACAAATGCCGCTATCTCCTATTAGCTGTACACTTCGAATCGCAGAAGCATAGTTTTAGGTGGAAGTTAACGATAGTAATAGTAATAATAATAATTATTATTCAAGTGTTGGTTTGTTCGGATATCGATGAGATGCTCACTAGCGACTTGCCCTAATCAGGTAGGTAGTTACCTGGGGTTCTAGTGAGAAGTCGTGACCAGTAGGGTGCAGCAGGTCGGGTGTCAGGACAAATACTCACCGAAGACATTGGCTAACTGTCGCGCTATGTCGCGAATTGGCAGAAGTTAGAATTCATGCACAGGGCATTGAATCGGGTCCCAGTGGCTTAATGGTTTACGAGCTAGCTCGCTTGGCTTGTAACCAGAAGGTCCTGGGTTCGAATCCCATTGTGTGGGTGCGTACTGTGAAGAGTGTCAAACTAGGACGAAACAGCTGTCCAGTACTCCCCGGTGGTTTTCCAATGGTTCTCTAACCAATATCAGCTCATGATGAATTCCAATAATTATTATATTAGCTGTAATCTAAACAGTACAGAATTTTCATCAGAAATTATAGCATAGTAGTTTCTCTCTTTATCCAAGATCTTCTAGTGAAATAGTAATTGAGATGAAATCGCGTGATAAACTGTTGTTTCATCTGAAACCGAAACGAATTCCTTATGATGTTTTATCCTTTTGCCTCCCTCCTTCGAGAGAAACGTAGAACATTTGGTTGAAAGCCAATTAAGAAAGGTGTAGGAGTACATCTTCTGACCCACAGACATGAATAAATAGATAAATATATTGGTGACTGTATGTAATTAGTTTTTTTCTGGCGGCAGTGACAGTTTGTACACCTGAACGATTTTAAATATTGTCAAATTTTGTAAAAAAAGAAACCGCGAATCAGTAGGTTGTTGACATTTTAAATACTCCGGAGAGTAGATTAAGACAAGCTGAACCAGAAAAATCATATGCAATACGATGATAGAGTATTTTGGTGGCATAGGTTTCAAACAGGCAGAATTATGAAATAAGAACATTCCCCGCGTTTTCAGTGGATCATGGGGCTACAAGCATTTTAAATGTCATTAGTAGCGGTATATTTTTATACGGAGTGGGATTATTACTTAATAATAATAATAACAATGGTAATTAAGCTTTATTTCGGACAATTAGTGAACACATAGTACACACATTTTCAGCTTATTTACTTCTTATTCAGCCACTGGGACCCGATTCAATGGCTAGCTCATGAATTCTGTTATTATTATTATTGTTCCCTTAGGTTCCTAGTGGAACATAGGGCTTCAACTACACGTCTCCACTTGCTTCTGTCTTCCGCTATACTTTTCACCTGCATCCATGTTAGTCCATACTGTTTCAACTCCTCTTCGGTGTAGTTGTCTGTAGAAATCCTACTTCTTTTGTTGTTCTGACACGTTTGTAGGCGCATAGCATTGAATGATTGTAACCTTCCTTCCTTTTGAGTTGAACCTATCTGTCATTATCCTGGGGGAGATTGGTTCTCACTGCATGAGAGCTTTGGCTGCTGTTGGTGACATCATGATGGCCACTCCTTCGGTGTGCTCTTGGTTGTCCTCTGGGTGACCTGAATAGATTGCTATCTCTCCAGTTGATAGTTGACACCTGCCATATTCGTTTCATCTGCTCTCGCAGATTCCCAACACTTCTATTCCATACCTTCTCATTTCTGCAGCTACATGGGGACCCTTTCCAGCTTCGTACATTGTACGAACATTCCACGTCCCCATCCTTATTTTTGCTTTCATCGAAAGAAGGCACATTGGCTGACTGGTTTCCCGAAGGCTTTGACCAGCCTGCGTCATTTCACTTCCCCGATTCCAGCGAAAAATAAGGTTATTGCTTATATTTTTAGTATTTCTTAATATATTTGTGCGTTGAAGTTTCTGTAGCAATTTGGTTAAGTTTTGGGGATGGAGTTGCTAGCACCACGCCCCAACCCTCCCTCATTATCCGGGCTTGGGACCGGCTAGAAAACTAGTGAGCTAGTAATCTAGGAGAGGTTCTAACTTCTATCAATTCGTGATACACTTAGCGCGACTGGCACCAACCAGTGTCATTGGTGGGAAATCCATCCTCACGCACTTGACTGGTCAGACCTCACTGGTCACGACTTCTCTCTAGAACTCCAGGAAACTCCGTCCTGTAGCAAGTCACTAGCGAGCATCAGATTAATTTTCAAGAGTTTGATTTTTAAGAGAAACATTGAAAACCAGCACTGAAGTAATGGCCAGCTGTTTCACCAGCCTAGTTTGCGAATCATTGTCAGTACACCACCCATCAGTCGGGGTTCGAACGCAGGACCTTAGGGTTAAAAGACAAGCTCGTATACCATTCAACCACTGGAACCTGATTCAGTAGCCAGCCCATGAATTCTAACTTCTACCAATTTGTGATTTGCTTCTGAAATATTTCCTCTTTATACAGAATTTACGCGTTAAGTAATAACCTGAAGTATATCATGTGACACAGTGTGTGTTGTTACATATGAAGAGACAACAAATTCCACAAATGTTTTCTTCATTTCCTTCAAGAATTGTACAGCATTTTGTTGAAAGCTAATTAAATATGTGCGCGAGTTCATATAGTGATCACATGGTATAATTTGCATGATTTAAACAATAAGAAATTTAGGAGACTTTAAGTATTTTGATGGCAGGAAATTCTAGTAATCCAGATTCAGATTCAGATGATAAGGATAGAAGGCTCTTGTGGCCTGTGTTAATCCTTGCAAAATATATCTCTGCAGAGATCTAACTTCTCTTTGAAAGCGTTCACCGATCGAACTGATACTACGGAATCAGGTAAGCAGTTCCAGTCGTTGACCACTCTGTGAGAGAATCTAAATTCTGCACGAATTTTAATCGTCCTCTACTTGAGCACCTTCTAGTGACCCCGTAAATGTATCCTAGAAGGGGAGAAAAGTTTAGAAAGGTCAGTTCCTAAATCACCCTTAAGTATACGGTATGCTAAAATTAAGTCGCCTCTCTTCCTTCGGCATGATAACGGGAAGAGATTTAAATGCTCCATCCTCTTATCATAAGGCAGGTGTCAGATACCACTAACTAATTTCGTTCCTACTCTCTGTACTCTTTCCAAGATATGTGCCTCCTTTTTGAAGCATGGACCCACCGCTTGTATGCAGTATTCTGGATGAGGCCTGACATATGTTGCGTAGAGTATTTGGAATATGCCCTCATCTAATCGTTTGAAAGCCCTTCAAAGTAACCATAGCATTCGAAAAGCCTTAGCTGCGGCTGCATTGCAATTCGCAGTTGTTTTCAAATCATTGCTGACAATGATTTCTAGGTCTTTCTGTTCGTTAACATCAGGTAGTTCTGTGTCCCCTAGACAGTACGACGTATAAGACTTCTGACCTAAGCGCGTTACCGCACATTTCCTAGAATTAATTTCTAAACTTCACATGTTCCACCACTCAGCTAATTCATCTAAATCGCTTTGTAGGGCCAACATATCATCGTTATTATTTACAATTTTCCAGATCTTAATGTTGTCTGCAAATAATAATGAAGATGAAGTAAGAATCCCCGGTGATTTCAACAGACTGCCAATAATAAGGTCCACAATCAGCCTTAATAAACAAGGCGACGTTTATGAGTTCATCGACCGGAAATCGAGATCGAACCACTTGCGTTACTGGTAAGTATTCGACTACTGCATTGCAGATAACTGATGTAATGTCGTAAGGGTGTTAAAAAAACCTGTCCAAATAATTGAGACAATCAAAACATCCCCGTGGCCAGTGTGCATTGACGCTTTATATTTTATGACAGTAGTATTATTGTTATGTGTCCCCTATGATTTCCGAGTGGAACATACGGTTTCAACAGCACATCCCTACTTTTTCCTACTCTCATCAGGCCTCTGTAACTGGCTTCACGATGCTTAATAGTCTCTCATCTCCTCCTCCCCAAACGATCTCCTCCATTTCACCCTCGAACCCATTCAAAACTCATCGTTTCCCATTCTGGTTCCACTCGAACAATGGCCTAGAACACGATTACATTCGAAGCACACACAAATATTATTATTATTGTTTCCCTTAATTCCTAGAGGAACATAGGGCTTCAGCCGTGTGTCTCCATTGCGTTCGGTTCTCTGCTAGAATTTTCAAGTCTGCCCGCACGCTTTCATCTCCTCTTCACACGACCAAATCGCCGCTTC